CGAGAATGTAAACTCGAGGTGGGAGCTGAGTCACGAGAATGTAAACTCGAGGTGGGAGCTGAGTCACGAGAATGTAAACTCGAGGTGGGAGCTGAGTCACGACAATGTAAACTCGAGGTGGGAGCTGAGTCACGAGTATGTAAACTCGAGGTGGGAGCTGAGTCACGAGTATGTAAACTCGAGGTGGGAGCTGAGTCCCGAGTATGTAAACTCGAGGTGGGAGCTGAGTCCCGAGTATGTAAACTCGAGGTGGGAGTTGAGTCCCGAGTATGTAAATTCGAGGTGGGAGTTGAGTCCCGAGTATGTAAATTCGAGGTGGGAGTTGAGTCCCGAGTATGTAAACTCGAGGTGGGAGTTGAGTCCCGAGTATGTAAACTCGAGGTGGGAGTTGAGTCCCGAGTATGTAAACTTTAGTTGGGAGCTAAATCCTTGGCCGAAAAGGAAAAAATTGTGTATAGTGATTGAAAATGATAGCAATCCATGCTTTATTACAGCTTCTCCTCTCACCAATAGAAGACTATGGTACATTTTTTTCCATGCTTTGATGGCCAATAAATAAATAAATAAATAAAATAAAATAAAATAAAATAAATAAATAATAAGAAAAACAACAAAAGTAGCTCAAACAACACCGCCTCTTCCCCAACTCTCATAGCCTTGGATGGAGGCAGAATCAGGCCGCGTCCTCCTCCGCCTGTGGCTGAGCTCCGCCCTCATCGTCCTCCGCGGCCTCGGGAGGCGGCGTGGTGGCCTTCTTGTTTGCAGCAGCCTCAAGGACATGGTTGTAGTTGCCCTTGATCATGAAGAGCTGAGCAAAGTGGTGCTTGCAGTACAGCACTCCATCAAGGGCAGCATAGGATGAGTGTGTCAAATGGCACCCTCCATGAGCACATCTAAAGCAGTTCTTGTGGTAGCATTCCCCTTCAAGAGTCACCTTTTTTTTATCAACCAAATTATAGTTTCGATTAGCTAGTGTTAATCGATCTATGCTATGTTTTGTGCTTGAAAAACACGAAGAACTATTAACCGACCTTCTCCAACGGATAAACCGTCTTTGAGCAGGCTGCACATTTGTCCTGAGTTCCCGAGAACATGGCCGAGGCTTTCGTTGGAGCCCTCGACTGGTAAATAGGTCAAAAGTTACCAAGATAAAATGGATTGATCCATACAAAATCAAGTTACCAAGACAAGTAAAAGTTACCGGAATGGAACAATTACCAAGACACAGTAACAGTTAACCGAACGGAACAATTACCAAGACACAGTAAAAACTAACAGAAGGAAACGATCCATACAAAATCATTATCGAATGAGGTAAAAATTAACAGAAGGAAACGATCCATACAAAATCATTATCGAATTCGAGATAAAAAACGAGAGCATACCGGATCATTTTGTTTCTCAGGAGGCTTTGCTGTTGCCATAACAAAAACGAGAGAATGTTAGAACAATAGGTAAAAACAAGGGACGAACAATAAGAGATGGAAAAGAAAAAAAAGACGTTACAAGTTTGAAAATTCTTGCTGAAATTTCCAGATTCCTTGAAGAGTTGCTCAAAATGAGTCTTGCAGTAGAGGACACCGTCCATCCATGAGTAGCTACTCATCTATCGTGAAACAACTCGACAATTTAGTATCAGAACAAACGTAATGATAACAACGAAAGAAAACTCGTTAACTCTCGACGTACCGAAAGGGTGCCCTTGCAATGGCTACATTTGAAGCAAGACTTGTGGTAAGGATTGCCTTCAAGGGAAAGCAACTCGACCACATAAACAGTCTTGTCACAGGCCTTGCATTTATCCAGAGTACCGGTGAACGACATCTCAAACCGAAGAACGACTAGGGAAAAAACAAGAACACGAAGAAGAACGGGAAGAACAACAACAAAAGACAAACAAATGGAATGTTTACCAAGTTGTCTGAGGATGGGATCTCAGACAAGATTAGAGGAAAAGAAGCAGAAGCTAAGTGGAATGGGACAGAGAGAGAAGGGAAATCATGGGATTTTGTGTGCAAACAAACTAAATTTAAATAATAGAGAGAATAAAATTTACTTGTTGGAGATGCTCCAATTTCGGATAGTCCTATGTTTTCTCGAGGGAAATAAGGTTGTTTCTTTGACCATTTCAGGCCAAATGTTTTGTGTAATTTGTATGGTTGGCAGTTATTTTAGTTGAATATGATTGCCCTTTTTTAGCCTCTACTCAAAAATGGAATTTAAATTTTAAAAAATAAAGAATATAAAAGTGCATTTAATTTAATTTAATTTAATTTTTTTATCAATTAAATGTTTGAAAATAAGTAAATTGATGCTTTATAAAATAACATTTTATTTTTATTAAAAATAAAAATTTGAATAAATGATCCGAACCAACTTAACCCAAAAAATTTAGAATTACATTGGACTGGATTCATTATTTAATAAAATTATACAAACCGAACAATTGGGTTGGATCTAAAAAATGTTCAAATTCGACCCAACTCAACCCGACACATTTATTTAGGTAAGTTCAATAAGTATTTGGTTTTTAATTTTTCAAAACTAAAAAAAACATAATTTCCAAAACTTTATTTTTGTTCTGTCAAAGGAAGAAAATAAGCTCTTAAGGCCCAACATCCCGATCTTTAGATAATGCATCATGATTGTCACATATGAAAATAAATCGAATAATCAAGAATCCAGTCTTGATTAGGATATGCACGAGCAACTTTGCGAACTAAGTAGGTAACTTCATATTGCATTATCACGAACATAACATGAGCTCAGCTCGAGTCTTATAGGAACAGTCTCGTCCTCAATGAGCTAGATCAATTAAGCCAACTTTAACAACAAAATCGGTTCAAGTTGATTCGACTTGAGGGCTCAACAAACGCTTATAAGGTTAAATTATGAACCAAAGGCTCAAAGTCCAAGGTAGCTGAAGTCAAGCTAAGGGAAGTCTTTTAAGCTTGGTTCAACCTCAAGGTAAGATTGGGCCCAAGTAAAAGACTATTAGGCAAAGAAGCTTGAAAGTCCACCTCGACTCGAGCCAAGTCGAGCCAGGTTGAGCCTATGTTGATCTTCCCTCACATGCCCACGACCTAACGAGTTTTGAGACGTATCCAATTTGACTCTCCTAACCCTAATCGAAAAGGGAAGAAAAATTTAGGTTAGTTACAGTGAGAAATAACTCCTCCATACCTACTTGATTCTCCAAGATCCCGAGATAGTTAAGGGCACCTCGACTTATATGTAGAAAGCACGATGACTGGATGAACCATAGAAAGTAGGAACGAAAAGCTAACTGCACCTAGAACTCTAAGCAAACTCCAATGGGATGACTTACAACCTTAGAATAGGACTAAGTAGGGTATATGACTACAACAACCTTATAATAGGGCTAGAACTAATGTCATGGAATTAGCTAACTCTAAGAACTTGAACACAATTTTAAGAAGCACTAAATAGGAGAGTGTCATGATGCGATCGAGGAGGACGATGCATCATCCAACACACCACCACGCGAAGTGGGCATTGAAGACAAGTTGAGACATAAGCAAGACAGAGACATTGAATAGACATGAAGGGCAAAGATAGGCTTGTTGAAGGGATGGGTAGGGCCCCGGGCCTTAACCTCAAAAGTCGAGATTTCAAAAGGAATTTAGGCATGCGGTTCAGGAGTTAAGTCCGTCCATATAAAATATGAATGCTCGCCAATTTGGTGTCAATCGGACACCGGACGGACAATGCACGATACCGTATGACCGTTCACCAAAATCATGTTACGCCTGGGAGATTGAAAATGGTTCAAAATGTACCATAGGGGTACCATGGTGTTAGCTCTCCACCACCCCTGGGCCCTGTGTTCTAAGTGAGCTACCATGTGGCACATACGTGTGTCACAGTATGGGCGAGCGTGTCGAGATGAGTATCTCGGGCAACTTCCTTTGAAATGGGTTTTGAAGGACAGTACAGGACGGCACGGGTGTGCCAATATTCGCCCTAGCCCGCGTGTTGGAGGTTGCTACATATACCCGCTATCCGGTACGAAATCCATAAACGACTCGGTATGGGCACATGAGGGCCAATGCCTTGATAGAACCCGGATGGATGGATGTTCGGGAAGTCCCGATGAGATGAACGACACGCGGGCCCATTCTCGATGGCATGACTGAGCGAGTTATGATGGCCGACGACATCCCGAGACTCGGGATGGCGTCAAGACATATGGACCCCGTCGATGGGGATCGAGATGACAAGATGAGATGCGACGTTGCATGGAGAGACCTTGGCCCGAGCAGAGGCAAGGTTGAGCCGAATGACTTAGCCCAGTGTAGAGGCAAGTTGGATGTGTCGCAGACGATTGAACATGCACGCGCAGGCAGCGTGTGTGGTTGAACAAGCTTAGATTCCACACAAGTGATGTTCGATTGGCGAAGATAAACCTTGCCTAAGGTCCGACGAAGCCACAAAATCGGGTGAAAAATAGATACGGGTTTAATTCCCCTTAAGGCTAGTCGAGAACGTGTCATGATCACGACGCCGCACGGTAAAAAATGTAGGACCGTGACACCATGCAAGTTAGACCTTATTCTTTGTTTTGGAACTTGTATTTATTAGTGATCATTTGCATAATGTCCATGGATAAGTTTGGTACGTAAAATTTATGTCGTCTATCGGTTGAATTACTCCTTTGAGTCACCTGTTTTAAAAATGAAAAAATTTATCGCCTTTTTTTTTTACTAAATCTATGTAACGGTCCGTGATGTGAAGCATCAAAAAGCGGTTTGTTACATTACCATACCATTCATGATGTTAAGCTCTAACTACAAATCTCAGCTTCAGACAAAGACAACATGTGTAAGAATAAAGAGGGTAAATGTGAACAATCTTTCAAACTTGCACACCTAACATTAAAAATCTAACATCCTTGGATATATTTTGAATAGGATCATAACTGATGCACTCACTTTAATCACTTTTTCCAACCTCTTTTGTTAGAAGGACTAGCTATTCCCAACTCTTTGCATTGTTGTTCATCTGGATGCAGGCTTCCGGGGACAGCCCCGAACGCTCGTCGTGACCCCTCGAACCCAAGAGTCACATGATGTATATATGCTGATGCATCATCAAACTTTCTACCAAGTTGCAATGACATAGATAGAAACTTCTTGGAACGAGTTCTTTGAGGTTTCTTTGCAAGTGGCTGGTCGAGTTCAGCAGCGGTTAGGAAACGTTCTGTTGCAGCCTCCCACGAGAGCTCGTGCATTTGCGCATTGGTCAGCGGCTCGGGTTCTTCAGTCAGTGCTTTGAAAATTCCCCTAACAAAGGCATCACTTTTGTCACAGAGAAAGCAGTTTGGGAATTGCCTGAAGAACTCATTTGAGGGATGATCAGCACATACAACGAATTTGCCCATTGCCAATGCTTCAGCTGTGGTGGTGCAAACAACGTCTGTGGTGCTTGGATTCACAAAGACTTTGTAACTGAAAAAAGAAACAGGAAAAACTCAAAACCAGCCAATGGATAGACATTATTCAAACCAAGGGAGAAAAGAAAAACTAAGCTGCAGCTTTTGTTTGAGCCAATTAGTACTCATAATATAACGGCACAGATCAACTTCTAACAGATATTGTCTTATTTGGGCTTTTTCTTTCGGGCTTCCCCTCAAGGCTTTAAAACGCGTCTACTAGGGGAAAGTTTCCACACCCTTATAAATGGTGGTTTGTTCTCCTCCTCAACCAACATGGGACATCACACATAATACCCACCAAATTTCTAATTCCAGGCAATTTACAAGCCATAAGTGTTACAAATAGAAGTGACCATGTAACGACCCAAGTCCACCGTATTGTCCTCTTTGGGCTTCCCCTCAAGGTTTTTAAAACACGTCAAAAGGTTTTAACACCCTTAATAAATGGTGTTTCGAGAATTGTTGGATCTCACAATCCACCCCTATGAGACCCAGCGTCTACTCCCTTTGGGGATTGTTGCTGGCAAACCACCTGTGTCTACCCGTTTGGGGCTCAGCCTTCTCACTGGCACATTGCCCAGTATCTGGCTCTGATACCATCTGTAACGGCCCAAGTCCACTGCTAGCAGATATTGTCTCTTTAGGCTTTCCCTTCCGACTTCCCTCATTTTGGGGAAAGATTTTCACACCCTCATAAACAGTGTTTCGTTCTCCTCCCAACCAATGTGGGATTGTAGGATCTCACAAATCATTCCCAACCGAGCAGTCATCACCATTTCAAACTCAAATAAATGGTTTCAACAGTTCCTTGATGCGTTTCAACAAAACTAGTTCATAAAATGCTGTTAGCTAACCATGAAAGAATCATGTATTATACCATCAGTGACACTGAAAGATCTAATCCTTGATCCTCTAGCTAGAGCAGATGGAAATAATAAGTGTGCAAGAGAGAAGAGGTTAAGTATACTCATGGAAGATCGGATCTGTGTGATCGCGTCCAGGATAAACTTTAACAGATAATTCCAAGTCTCGAGCAGTTTTCTGGACTTCATCAGAATCTTCTCCATTTCCAAATAAATCAACCTCAATCCCAGCTAAATCCTTCTGATGATCGCCAAGAAGTTTAAGCAGCTCCCTGTATCCCTTGCTCCATATCATCTTCCCTATATAATAGACACCTTTGCCAAAAACTTGATCCTCATCTTGTCGCTGTTCCATCTTCTGCTTACCTATCTCGAGGAATTTGGGATTGACACCATGAACATTGCAGATAACGGACTTTGGATAATCCTGGGTAGCAGCAGATAACCTAATCACCTGAAAGCTTATACGAGAATTGATGAATAAGACATCCACTAATCATTATGAAAATAAACTGATTCAATGATCACAATGAACAAAATGCAGATCATTTCATTGGAAGTAAGAAACATATAGCAAAAGCACCTTGTGGCAATAGATATGAACAACCCATCTGTTTATATGTTCAAGAAGAAAAGCTTCAACTGCCCCATTCTTCTCCCGTTTAACGTATTCCAAATAGTTGGTATGGATAATTCCTACCACCCATTTGAATTTCTTTTTCCATCTCCTTCCATGATGATACCATGTTAGATGCTCCGGCTCCTCAAGGATAGCAATATCTGATTCGTCATCAGGGATGATTTCTGAAATATCACCAACAGGGAGAATGCTCCTTTTATCTACGGCAAACTGCAGAATAAAGTGAAGCCTCAGTTGGCAGAACAGGATAATGTGTTAGGAATCACAACTCTAATAGTATGATATTGTCCACTTTGAAAATAAACTCTCATGGCTTTGCTTTGGGCTTCCGACCTCATACTAACGGAGATGTATTCTTTACTTCGAAACTCAGGATCATATTCTCTAAATTAGTCAACGTGGGACTTCCTCCCAACAATCCTCGAACAAAGTACACTATAGAGCCTCCCCTGAGGCCTATGGAACCCTCGAACAACCTTCCCTTAATTGAGGTTCGACTCCTCTAGAGTAGTCGAACAAAGTACATCATTTGTTCGACACTTGATTCACTTTTGACTACACCTTCAAGGCTCACAACTTCTTTGTTCGACATTTGAGAATTCTATAGACACGGCTAAGTTAAGGGCATAGATCTGATACCTTAGTAATCACGACTCTCCACAATGGTATAATATTGTCCACTTTGAGCATAAACTTTCATGGGTTTGCTTTGGGCTTCCCCAAAAGGCCTCGTACCAATGGAGGAGAACAAAGTACACCACTTGTTCGACACTTGAGTCATTTTTTACTACACCTTCGAGGCTCACAACTTCTTTGTTCGATGTTTGAGGATACTATTGACACGACTAAGTTAAGGGCATGGCTCTGATACCTTAGTAATCACGACTCTTCACAATGGTATAATATTGTCCACTTTAAGCATAAATTCTCATGGGTTTGCTGTGGGCTTCCCCAAAGGGCCTCGTACCAATGAAGATGTATTCCTTACTTATAAACTCATGATCGTTCCCAAAATTAGCAAACATAACATAATGAGTGCCATTAGATTTTCATGCTTGTGTAAAAACATAGACAATGGAAGACTTTTGGACCCATAAACAGCCTTCAGGTAAAACAAGTAGCAAACGCACAAAATTCCAATATAAACTTAAAAGTAAAAACATTGAGTTTCATTATGCGTAGTACAAGAACAAAACACCTGATGTTTCTGCATGATATTAAACCATAAATGAAAACATAAAAATTGCATAGGTCCTCAGAGAGAAAGATCTACACACACAAAAAAACCGAGCATCATATCCAAGATAAGGATTAGAATTAAATGATGCTACAATTACCTTCCCGGGATAAAATTGGAGGTTGAAATTGAATTTTGATCCTATTCTTTCTTCGAGCCATTCCCGAATGTATTTCTCCTGCTGTGAGGGTAAGACGAAGGTTGTGTTGCTGGGATATACAAGTTCCTGATCTCGTATAGATAACCAAGGAACCACCAGTGTGACCTTTCTATCCCCACCGATTGATAGATAGGCAGCACGAAATAGAGGGTTTACTGCAGTTCCAGTCATCCATGGAAGACTGGCCGTGGTAAAAATTGCAATATGTTGCTTTGTATCCATCCAGGTTTCAGATATCACCAGAAAAAATGGCAATCATTTTAGTCTCTTCCCTAAATTTACCAGCAACCTGATTATCAAGGAACATGAGTCTCAATTACGACATTCTAGGTTTCAACCACAGGAGATAACCACGCAATTGCCTTTAAAGAAAATCCTTAAAAGATTAACCAAATCAATTAAACAAAACAAGAATTAATTACTTCATGCTATTACGATTCATGACCAACCATAATCAAACAAAAACAACTATTAACATTCAAAATTGTGAGGTATCATGAGGACGGAAAAGAAAACAAAACAATGCGTCGAGTTGAAAAAAAATTATCTCCGTTTCCAATTCAGTTCAATCTTTGTGTCTGAGGACATTCCAAATCTTACAAATCAGCCATTAACAATAACATACATTCCTCAACCACGTCCATTCTTCTAGAGATATTTACGTCATTCTTCCGACAAGGAATTTCTTAATTCTAGCCAAATGCACATTGAATAATACAGATTTCATAAATTAACATAATATGAGATGTATATATATATATATATAGAGAGAGAGAGAGAGAGAGAGAGAGGTACCGGCGATTAAAGCTTGAGCATCTCCCTAAAAATTGACAAAGTTGAGCAGAAAGCGAGAGAACACGAAAGTAGAGACTTGTGTGAATCAAAAAAATGTGATGGATTCTTGAGGTTTCCTGTGTGAGAATGGATTTGTAAAGAAATGAAGAGAAGGATCAAAGCCGGAAACAGAGGAAGCAAGGCATCGGAGGAGAGGAGAGAGAATATGCGAGTGACCAATGGTCGTTGGCGATTGCAAACGCAAATTAACAGGGAAGCCTCACACGACGCCGTTTTGACACGCTGAGTTGTTCACTAAAGCTTTTTTCTAGTATGAGCTGTTTGGATGTTCTTTTGATTTGAAGAAAACGATATTATAAATTCCCTCGATTATAAAAAAATAAATTAACCTTTTTTTCTTTTTAAAAAATACATTCGAATTTCTAATAATATATATATATATATATATATAATAACATTTATTACCGTTAATTTTTTTAAGTCAGTTTATAACTCCAATTTCAGAAAAATAATTTAAATATCAATGTTTAATATTACATGAAAGACAATGATACGTTTTAATATAAGTATTTCCAACCATTTTATCATTTTATTTAACTTTAATAACAACTTTCTACAATGGTATGATGTTTTCTACTTTTTGCTTTGGATTTCTCCAAAAGGGAAGGGATGGTATGATCTTGTCTAGACATAAATTCTCATAACTTTTCTTTGGGTTTCTCCAAAAGGGGTTAGATTGATACTTTGATATCAATCACTGAATTTTTCTTTCTACCTAAGGTTGGGTGGTCAGGTTTCGTTGTTGAGCTCTGTCATCCCACTCTTCAATCGATGAAGACTCAAACCAAACTCGTCCATCCTTTTTGGCACAAGGACGCGAGAACCAATTCGAGTAATCTATAGTAATCTCGAGTGAGATTAGGATGAGCTTTGATGAATAAAAGAAGAATTTGTAGAAATTCTCTTTACCCCTTTTTATATCCTTCTAAATGGGGGATGCACCTCCAGAAGGACTTTGCTAAGCTGTTCGGCCTAGGACTAATCTATGGGCAAAGACTTTGCTAAGCGCCAAGGACCAATCTACTATTGTATGGTATGGTAAGCATTGTTATTCCTTCTTCCACGTACTGGTACAATTCAATTCAATTCAACAACGATTAGGATGAACTTAGATGAATAAAATAATAGAAAGTCTCTTTATCCCTTTTGATATCCTTTTAAATGGGGGTGCACCTCCAAATGGGCATGACTTCACTAAGCTGTTCAGCCAATGACCAATCCACTATTGTATGGTAAAATAAGTATTGTTCTTCCTTAACCTTATTACCCTGGTACAATTCAATTCAACATTTTGTTCGGACTTTTCATTGTAATAAGAGTAAAAAGAGTGGAAGAATTTTTTTGTATTTATTTGATGAGATGCAAGACAAAAAAAGAACTCATCATTTCAATACTCTTTACAGAAGATTTTTGTTAATTACATTAGAGACTTAACACTATGTTAAATAAACATAATAATAATATGATATTATCCACATTTTAAGTATGCTGACATAGCCACCCAAAAAAAAATAGCATACTGGACATAACTAATTAGAACATTTAAAAAGTTTCTTTAAAAATGTTAGAAACTAGGATCTTTTATTTAATTATATTTTTGCCTCAGTTAATTCACTTTGTTCTTAATTCTAATGAAGTGTGAAAAATTGCTCATGACAAAAGATTTATATTAATCCTCACAAACACCGTAGTCATTTTGCTTTGAAGGAAATTTTTCTAGTTTTATAATATGTATTTTTGGATTGAAATTGTGTACCCTAAATCGACACTGCCCATAGATTGAAAAATCTATTAAACTTTGTATCCTTCATCGACACTAAACATAGATTGAAAAATATATTTCTCCAACCTTAAGTGATAGATATTCAACAAGATTAATGATCATAACGCAAGAATGTTTCAGCAACATAATTCAACGTATGAATGTTCTGATATTTTAAAAAAAATGATGGTAGAATTAAGAAAAGAAAAATTCATAAAAAAGCAACTTATTGACCCAACACAAAAAAATAGAGACGGAAAACCAATCCAACTAGTCCAAAAATTTGAATTTCAAAGATCCAAAAGATTTCTCAACCTAAGGACATTCTTACGAATTATTTACTGGCGAAATAATATGTTACTTGTGTAAAACTTAATTGAATAAACGACTGTTTAATATGATATGAGATATCAGACTGAAACAAATTACCAACGAACGTAAGAGACCAGATCCAAATGCAATCTGCTCCAACTATTTCTTTCATCTTTGAAATGACCTCGCAATGAAGCTCATCCATTGAAATGACAAACTTCAAATCGAAGTCCCTAATTCAAAACGACAAGCAGAGAAACGAAAAAAAAATCGATGATACGAATCCAAATTTGAAAAGCAAAACAGAATCACGAAGATTGGAGAGATCAGAGTGTGCTTATATGGATATTCGTCACGGTTTACTCAGAAACACGGACCAATGTTGCTCATCATATCTCAGCCAAACGTCAAGAAGATCCGAAAAAATCACAGAGAGAAAGAAATAAGACGATGAGATCCGAAAGAACAGCGAAAGAGAATCCATTCGAGAAACTTGCGGGACAAAGTAAAACGCATCAGAGACTTAAATATGAAGGTAATCACGGAAGTTTCCGATCATCTTGTTGCAGTTTTTTTCTCATCCCCTGCATCATACTTTGTCCCGCTATCTACCAAAACAAAAACACCAAAACGGCAACGATAAATCCAATCACCGGAGGCGGAGCACCTATGAAAGGCTAATACAGCGGTGAAAACAAGAGCATCAGGAACAGAGAAAAGTGCTAAACCCTAGTAATAATATGATACAAAATTCTGTGAAGAAGCAGATGAAGTCAGTACGCGGTTTACAGCGCTATTTATAGGACTCAGCGAGTGAACCCTAGAACTTAGTTGAGTTTTGTATGGGCCTTTCGTTTGGGCCTTCCGTTTGGGCCTCTCCATCTCTCTTATCATACTAAAACATTTATTTTTTAATTTTTTTATTTAAAAAACACAATATTATATTCAAACCCTAATTTCCAAAATTCAAAGTTCATCTACAATAAAAAAAAATTAATTAAAAATTAATTTGCAAAAATGGTAATTTCACGTACAAACCTAAAAGAAAAAAAAAAAAAAACCCTCAAGGAAGGAGAAAGTTAATTAACTTTGTTACTCGACCCTCCACCACTTCTGAGACTATGGTCTAAGCGAGCTACCTTTTGGCACATGCGTATGTCATAATGTGATCGAGCGTTTCGAGACGAATGTCTCAAGCGACTTCCTTTGAAATAGGTTTTTCAATGGTAATACCGAACGACACGGGTGTACCAGTATTGCACCCTCAACCCGTGTGTCAAAGGTTAGATTATGTACCCGCTATTCGAAAACATATGTCATAAATGGTTTAGCATGGACATTGGCGAGTCGGGCCTCGAGTGAACTTGGATAAATAGATGTTCGGGATGTCTCAATGAGATGATCAACACATGGGTCAGTTTCCAACAGATATGTCCGAGCAAGTCTAGATAGCCAATATATCTCAAAACATGGGATGTCTTAATGAAAGTGGTTTATATGTATTCTATGTTGATTTGTGCGAGAGCTACGCGGTCACAAAAGGGTCGTTCTAAGGCGTCGGTCTTGTCCGTGTAGATTTCTATTTATTTTTAAATGATTAAAAAGTTAAAATTGTTTTTTATTTTATAATAAAACTATTTTTTTTTAAGACAAAATAAATAAATAAATTGGGCCATACGTACGAATTTCTCGAAAATGTTTGGTAAATTATCGCAGTTGTATATGATTGGTACGAAATCGAACGGTAGTTGAGAGGAACGACAATGGCGAAACCTTCTTCACCAGAAGCTTCTTCGTTGATCTTAGAGTCGCCGGCGATTCAGATAAAGAATATGTCTGAAGAAGATTTGCACAAAACTATACAAATGCTCAATGGATTGAGAGGCTTCGTCCAAATTCCGGACGATTGCAACACCGAGGGCTTCTATTCCGACATCAGTCGCAATCATCTCCGGCAGCTCAGCCTCGAACGAGGCCGTATCACCTACCTCCTCATCGTCAAACCTGTTGTCTCCGTAAGTTCTCAATTCTTTTTTCAAGTTTGTTTTCTCGTCGACTTTAGGAAGAGAAATTTGGTATTCGGTTTATACTATTGCGTATTCCTTGTGTCTGATTTGAATCGAATTGATATCTTTGGGGACTTGAAAAATTAGCTATTCATCATTAGAGCGGGAATAGCTCAGAAAATGAAGTGTTTGGTTAGAATCGAACCAATATTTTTGAGAACTTGAAAGTTCACTATTCATCTATCGTTATAGTGATGTCTTTGGTTGCTGAGAAAATGCGGTATCTGATTTGAATTGAAATGATACACTTGGAAACTTTCAAATTTTCTGTTCATCATTATACTGATCTGTTTACTTGCCGTGAAACTGTGGTGATTGATTTGAATCGGAACAGCTTCCACAGGAACTTGAAAACAAAGCATTCATCATCATAGTGGTCTATTTGTTTGCTGAGAATATGTGCCTTTTCAAATTCTCGTTATTTGCGTATTTCAGTTTGAGTTCGTGTGGATTCATCTATCTGATGAATTAAAAACGGAATATCAATATGTTTGCATTCACATTAACAACAGGTATCTATGAAATTTCAGAATATTTATGGCTTTTTACATGGAGGATTTGTTGCTGCGGCTGCTGAGTTCTCATCAATTGCTTGTGCTAGAACTGTTCTGGGAGAGGATAAGGCATTATTTCTTGGGGAACTGAGCATTTCTTATCTCTCAGGCGCTCCACAAAATGTGAGTAAATTTCAAGTAATTGCTGTGCTCCCTTATGATTTGTTTGAGTTGGGGGTGCAAATAGGTTAGTTAAGCTGAGGAAACTGACTATCGAATTGACCAAAACTGAGTCCAACCAATCAAAGCCATCAAAACTAACCAAAATTGAAATAAGCCATAGCCAACAAAGTCAAATGGATCACGAATGAGAATTCAGATTGAATTAATTGAATTGGTTAATTCAGCCGGTTTTGGCAATTTCGGTTTCGGGAGCTGGGACGTGTTTTGATGGAAACTGGATGTATAAATTTCTTAGACGTTAGAGTCCTCAGATTGTTTTGCTGGTCCTGCATGCTTAAACCTTTTGTGTACTTAGCCATACATGGGTGGGAGGGTTGCATGATTCTACCGGTGGCAATGGTTTATAACTTGAGACGGGACCATTTTATCTTCTTATGATTTGAAACTGATATTATCATGGTGTCTTTTTTATCGAATGGTATATTTCCATGGCTTTGCTGACTTTAGCTCACCTCCAGCCACCTTGCGCTTGTAGTTTATGGGAAAATACCATTCATTTTCTTTATTAGGAGGATTAAGTGGAGGTACATCCATTCAAATCATGAATTTTCAAATTGAGAGATCAAGAATTAAATCATAATTACCACCCTCTGCAATCCTATAGGTATAACATCAGTAATATGATTGCCACCACACTTCAGATCAGAGCAACAAATGGGACTGAGTTAGGTTGGATGTTTTAGGACACAAACATAGTAGTTTGGTACCATGTGAACAAGAAGGGTCTGAGTACATAACACAAATATAAATATAACTAGGTGCTATGACCAAGCCTTGAGTACATCAATGATTGCATCTAGCGTTCGATTCAGACTTCGGTACCGATCAACTTATGGAGGATATGAAAGATGGTATTTCGATCGCATTTTGTTATTCAAAGATTGGTTTCGGCAATCACATCCAGGAAAGTATGAACACACAAGAAAAAACCATCGATACAATACAATGTGAAATTTGGTATTTGAGTCATACTTGTGAATTTAAATGCAGTTTTGATTGTTCAAGTAGCTTGCTTATGATTAAGAATCTTAGTTTTACATATTTTCACTCAATTTGAGCTTTACCAAGATCATGCTATCTTCCACGACCTTACTTAAACAGGACCTGTTCTTTAGAAGTTTTCTGAAAAATTGTGTTGTTTGCAGGCAGAGGTTGTGGTAGATGCTTCTGTTTTAAGGAGTGGAAAAAGTTTGACCATAATTTCCATAGAGTTCAGACTTCAAAAGACAGGAAAGTTGGTCTACACAGCTCGCTCTACACTCTATAGCATGCCAATGCCGAAGTTATAAAATGAAAATTTCCAGGTGCCTAAACATCTCCCAACTTTCTTTACTTTAATGTTCTGTGTTTTTATTCCGTTTGAACAAACATGACAAATATATGTACTTGTGTAACGTTGAAAAGAGTAGGCAAATATATTGATTAGAAGCTTGATTATCCTTGTATACTATTTATAATCTAGACAAAATACTGTTGTTCCATGCTATATTTATAAATTACATCAAATAGATGCAATCTTAGTTGGTATAGAGTTTGGACTTCAAGATACTCTATTTCTTTTTAGTTCAACCTTTTGAGGCGAGAATTTGAACTTATAACCTTTTAATTGAGTACATGTCAAACAAAGTCTCGCATTAGTTAGGAAAGATAGGAAAAAGAGGGGACATAGCATATAATTGAGGACATTTATTTTATTGGTACTAGTTTTTTTTGGGTGGAACAAAAAAGAGAGCCATGACGGCTTAGGTCTACAATGGACAATATCATTTTATTGTAGAGATAGGTAAATGTTTCATTGTCCGTTTGAAACATAAAAGTTAGTCTATTTGACTCGTGCAACCTTGTGTTTACACGTCATTGCAAAGTTATAAAATTATTTGGTTCTACACCTAGGTGAGCAATTGTCATATATGCCTATATATAATATTCTTTTTTAACTTTTTGCAACTTTTGTCTCTTTTAGTTTTCATTCAAACTGGATAAATAGAATAATACCTATTTTTGTGATGTTGGATTGAGTAGATTACATTGCATCCTTAATTAGAGATATTATGGTAATTAATAAGTTCAATAATACCAACTTTCTTTTGTAAAAATAAAATCCTATAAATATAGCCCTAATAATCACTAATGATCAAATCATGTTACACATGGATGAGAACAAAATAATGAAGTTGAGTTCAAGCTACAATCTCTTCATCTTGATTCTTTTTGTAGTTTTGTACAAATGTCTTCTAACTACAACCTCTCAGTGATTATTAGTGATCAAAGTCGGTTTGTTTTGAGAGGGAGTTCTCTCTACCCGACCCCTAGGTTGTTCCTCCTTTGTTGTTCTGCATACATTTTCACTTTGGTTCTAATAAGCAATTCCAAAGAAAGACCTATCAACATCTATCGTTAAATCACTAAGATTCGTGCTTGATTCGTGCTTGCAATATACCATTGTGATATTTATTTCACTATTTGACTTTTAAAAATTAAGTTCTATCTCTGAGTTTCTTTATTTTGTCGACTTCTTAAGAGTGTCCAAAACGTAAGCAAGTTTTGAAAACTAAACTAGGTGTTTTTTAAGAACTTTTCTATGATTTCAACTTTTTTTTTTTTTTTTTCGTTTAAATGAAATTTGTACCCGCGTGAATGGAATTACCACCAATGTTCTTATCTTGCTTGAGCTGTGCCTTGGGGAAAACTCAGAGGTATCATTAGGAATTAGTCGGTTCTTTCTCCAAGGAGCTGACCATTTCCCCCCTTCGAAGTGATGGAAAATATGTCAACAAGACCAGTGGCAACAAAGATCATAGCTTTCTAATTGGATCTTCTTTACATAGCAATGAATAAATTTGCCCTAAACTCCACATTTGGCTGAATAGTCTCAAGCCTTCAGCTTCACACCCATCTCGGCAATATCCATATACCAGGGATGACCAAGTGATAGAATTTTAGTTGGAGATTCATGGAAAAGGATCTCCCGATTGGGCATTAAGCAGAAATCATAATATTCCATGAGCTGAAGTTTATAGATAACTTACGCGCTTCGTCAACTCGACCATCTTTAGATAACTCGCTCAGGAGCTGGTTGGAGACAGAACTCGACACATAATTCTCACAATGTTGTATAAGAACAGGGTGGTTGAAGTGAAAGTAGCGCACTGAGTGAAGGAGTTTGAAGTTTGTAGATATATGTTGCACATAAGCACCATACTTCTAGCAGGCTTGAGAAGTTCACTTAGATATGTTCCTCCAGCATCAACAACACCCCCTCCCCAACTTAACACAATCCATAAGCAAGCCACAACCCAAATGGAACCTAACTCAAATTTCAGAGACCAAAAGAGTATTTTTCTCTTTCGATTATATTTATCCTATTCAATGGAACACAAAATTTAACAAACGACATAGTATCGATACAGGAAATACGATAGAGACTTGAAGAAATCAACACTGAAAACAAAACAGATAATGGCATCAAACATAATTCAATTATGAATGCCAATGGTTAAAAAAAGGAGGCACCAAGCTCTTAGGAGTTTCAATACGTATATGGTTATGAGAGTTCAACTGGACCTGAGAATCTTACCAATCAACCAGGAGACGCCTTTTTGCTGTTGAAGTATGGACATCAAAACCACAGATGTGAGAGATCTATGCATTTTTCAGGTTTCCACTTGCTCAACCAATAGAATCGCAGGCAGCAAATTTTTCTGCTTCAATTTCAAACCAATATTATGGTTTGCACCCTGTGCTAGAGCCTGGTGATGTTGCTTGGGGTGCAAAATTGGGTGGATCACAAACGAGAAATCTGTAGTAGCAAAAAAACATTAATGTATAAATATATCTTCACAAAAAAAAAAAAAAAAAAAAAAAAAAAAAAAAAAAAAAAA